TGTTACAAAAGCGCGGCGTGCTGTAAATCGGCACACTTTAATCCCCTTCCATCCTTTCTTTCCATCTTTGTTTTTCTCTTCTTTATCGAAGTCAATCTTTCTCTTGAGTGAGGGATGCATCGCAAAATCGATTTATCCAAAAGTTGAAATTTCACGTGGCTTCCGTACGTACGGCTGAAGTAAGTGGAAGGCACGCGTTCTCGGATAAAATTAGTGACTTTGTTGAAAGTAAAAGAGGAGTAAAGTAGAGAAGGGAAAAAAGGAGGAGGAGAAGGAGAAGAAGAAGACGACTCTTCCTTTCGTCGTACTCCATAATTAAGTCGGCAATTATTCGACTGATCCAACGAGGATTAAAACTTGTGTCGGTCGATTTCACGAAAAGGAGACGAAGAAAGGAAAGAGTGAACCTCGATGAAAGTTCAACTACTGCTCGTTTGGGATTAACGATTAAGAGTATTTGTGCAGATTGATTTTTCTATGAACTCTCTTAAACAATTACCTTCGACGATTGCTACTCGAGCTTCAATTATCATCGTCTAGAAGAGAAAGACCGAGTCTCTGATATTCACTTCATTGATTCTTCATTGGTACTTCAATAAATTTTCAAAAGCGAATCTTTTCAGAGGCACGTTATTTTTCTAATTAATACGACAACCTTCTGTAATATTCATAGAAAGATCCTTGAAGAAAATGAACAATTCTTTTGCAACAGCTTTTATAATAAATAAAAAGAGAGGAGGGAGCAAGGGAAGGGGGACTTTGAAACGTACGACAAAGGAAGAGGAAAAAGAAAATATTCTCAATATGCAGAGGAACACAAGAAGAACAAGAAGAATAATAATAAAAAAAAAAAAAAAAAAAGAAAAGAAAAATAATAATAAAAAACGCGCTCTTTGTGTGGGGAGGGAAGAATAATTTAAAAATTGTGCTATTTCGAGTGCATCGCGGTTGCATTTATGCGACTCCGTACCTATGCGAACGTAAAAGGAACAACAAAGGGAAATAAGAGAGAGAGAAGGAGAGAGAGTAGTACGCACTTTAGCAGCGACTACTACTCGGGAGTTCTCGCTTTGTGGAAACGCGACTTTACGACAAAAGAGCCATTTACCGTTTGGCGGTGATAAAAATGGAGAAGTGGAAGAAAAGAAGATAGAAAAGGGAATGTAAACAAAAAAGGAAAAGAAAAAAGAAAGGTAAAATAGAGAGATGAAGAAGAAGAAGAAGAAATAATTCCTCGGAGAGGTGCCATCACTATTACCAGTAGTATATAGAAAGCTCTCTTTAATCATAGATCTCGCGGATACGTGCAAACAAAACGCGGATAAGCGTCGATCGGTGTGCATATATGCTTTATTATCTTTACTTTATCTTTCAACAACGCATCTGTTATTTTATGAACCCCCGATTCTCGACTCCTAGGTACATATCCACTCGTACGAGTTACGATAGTACATACCTATCTAATAAGTCACTAAAGTTTGTCAAACGATTTATTTGTTTTTTTTTTCTTTTTTTTTTTTATTTATTCACAAGTACAAATAATTGTTCCAAAATTTTCGGGTAAAAATGATATAAATTTATTTGAAGAGATAACAAAAAAAGTTGAGTCAAGTTTAGAAAGTTCTTTTTTTTTTGTCAATACTTGTCGAATACTGGTTAACGTCGATGAATTATTTTATTTAAGAAGATTCCAACTATTACTCGAACAAAACTGTCGAATAAAATCTATTTTCCGTTGATCCGTACGAAAAACAATCATCGACTATATCTACCCTAATAAACACAAATCAAAGTCTCATTATACAACATATAGAGAAAAAAAAAAAGAAGAAAGGAAGAGACGAACACCACGCAGGATTTGAATTCTAATGGATGAACGAGGCGGGAAACGTTACAATCGTCGAATAAATAGCAACATGCGCACACATACGCGTACATATACAACGCGACGACTATATGAAATGATCGATCGTCCTTAGACATCTGCTACTTACATTGAAAAAAGCAAAGAAAAGAAATAATAATAATAAAAAAGAAAGAAAGAGAGAAAGAGAGAGAGAGATAGAAACGAAAAAGCGAGGTCCGAGAAACGCGCTGAGTAAAAATCGTGACAAGGCCTTTCTTACATCGGCAGGAAATTAATCATAATAATCCTGGTTGCGCCGTACTAACGTTACGTTACAACGCAACTCGACGATAATTTTGATCGTACCTTCGTCATTCATTATATAGTTATATACTAGCACCTATACATACACGCATACATAGTTACATATACAGTACATACACTTATGAATTTATGCATATACATGTTAGAATAGTTAATTCGTGAAATAACAAACTACTAATCCCTCAAATAATTATACTGACCTGTTTAAATATGAAATTAAGGCGCAGAATTAAATATTTTAATTAAGTAATATATGAATTTACAAGAGACGAGTAGTTAAAGTACGAAGTGGAAATTTGATACGTAGATTAGATCTGATAGAACAACACGACTCTAGAGGAATATTTGTTTTCAAAGTAAAAAAAAGAAAGAAGAAACAGATAATTATGACTGTATTATATTGTTGTTATTCGTTGTTGTTTTTCCTAACGAAAAGTTCGAATTTAGGATTGTTTGTCGCTCGTATATTAATCAAATTTTTATTCAACACCTATGTGTTTTGAAAAGATTAATAAAATTATTTGGATAAGTCGAAATATTAAAATTTGACGATTTTAATTTATATGTGTAAACGGATATCTTACACTTTGTTTAATTAGACGAGCATTAATAAATAATGTAAATGATGAGATTTACACGATTTTTCTTTTAGTTCCTGTACTGGCCGAACTGCGGAGCCACTTGATGGATAAATTCTGAAAACTCTGTGTACACCATATATTTTTTATTTTTATATATTATATAAATATTTTCATACTCTAGATCGAAATAAAAGATATAAAAATAAGTAAACATTTATGCAACTGTAGGAAAAACATTTATAAAGTCTTTGGAACCTTCGCAGATATATTAAGTACACACAGTAATATGAACTCAAAGGGTTCAACGACGTTTTGGGGGGTCCGAGAGAAGGAAGTTGACCCAGGTGTATTTCGTCTTGTTGGCAACGATCGGATGATCTCGGAAGACGATTCGAAGGAAAACACAGTTTGCGTTCCGTCACTGTTTTTCACTCGCGGTATTAGGTTCTTCGTTCGACCGGTAAGACAGTGTTCATCTATTTTTTCACCGAGGGTGGTCTTTCGTCAACGTTGAAAAGCCCGTCGACGTTGTCTTCTTCAAAGAAACCCGTCCTCTACTTTCCCTTTTGTTTTTTTCTTTAACGCGAGGAAATTCACGCGAGGTATATAAATAAAATGAATCTTTCAAAATGAACGAACAAACGAACGAACACGAACGAGTACGTTCGAGAAAATTCGTTAATTTTGATATTTCGTAAGAAGAAAAAAAAACAAAAAGAAAATAGAAATTATTGTTAATTTAAAAGAGAATGAAATTCTTATCGCGCAAGGTAGGACAGAGTTTTTTTTAAAGAGAAATAACATTCAAAGAAAAAAGCCCCCCGTATAAAACGAACTAAGTTCATCGACTTTGCGAGTACCGAACAAGCTCATTCGCTGTGCAAACAGACCCGAACTAATCCCCGTTTATTTCGTCGTCGAGTCATTTTTAAATACGAATCTATTTATCCTTCGCGAGAAATACGCGCGCGCGCACGCGTACGCAGGAAAGAGATTTTCCTTCCCATAGAAATATATTTTTATGAGTAAATGTCAACGTAGAGAGAAAGAGAGATGATGGTACAGGGTGGGGTTACAAGCTTCCGAGTGATATTATAAATCAATTACATTTAGGGATGATATTTTTGTTCAACTGTAAAAAAATTCCAAGAGACTCGTAATTTTACTATCTCAATCAAAAATTCATTTAAAATCTTTCGAAATGAATAATTTAATGACCGCGCGAGAGGAAAAAAATTATACATTAACCGAGATTATGCTTAAAAGTCTATTAATAAAAATATCATAAGAAGAAAGGTAGAAAGTAAGTAAGGAAGGAAGGAAGGAAAGAAGGAAAAAGCTAAAATCATGGAAAAATACTCGAGTAGAATTCGAAGTTAGATGGCGGTTCTTTTAAACGAGCAAACGCAAATAGTTGGACTTCTCAAAGTGCTTCCGACGTTTCACGCTTCATTGAACTTACTTCTGTGTTATCTCTTTCTCTCTTTCTCTATCTTTCTCGGCTTTCTTAGAAACGATGAAGATAGTAATATGAGAAGAATAAGAATGTATCTATTAAAAAAAAAAAAAAAAAAAAAAAAAAAAAAAAAAAACAAAAAAAAGAAAATATTAAGGAAATATAAAAAGTGAGAAAGAAACTGAAAGACGATTAGAAAGAGGTAGCTAGTTGTAGCTCTAGCTAGCTATTCGATGGCGGCCATTTAGGAGAAACGATCGAGCCTTCGAAAAAAATCGACTCGACTATTTCCACAACAACGTGTTATTAGTATCGAGACGACGACACACGATTGCAGTTTCATCGCTGCTAATGCTTGGTAATTATGTAAACCGTCGCGTCCATTACAACGGCTAGGTAAGAAATAAAACGTTAGTGTAATTGCGGTACGATTAGGTTAACCATTGGAATCGTCCTACCGTTAGCAGTAACGATTATTTTTGATCGTTCGGTCATTAACTAATAAACTCGAATGACGACACACGAGCTCGCGTGATGTTCACGAGTAAATTCACTTTTCAATAATCCACACGCGGCTATGATTTGTCGAATTCTGATCGAACAATTCGTTAATATATCTTTCGTTTGTTTGTTTATAATAATATTTTTAACGAGGAGTAACGCGTCACGAGGTCCGACGATGATTTATAACATGAATATCAATATTGAAACATGAGATAAAAAGAGAAACACCATTCCTAAAAGTAAAAGTACTCGAAATAAAAGGAACTGGTATTAGATTCAAAGGACTCACCCAGCGATATCCTGTACTCGGCTCTGCAACGTTTGCTTCTCGAAGGGCTCTTCGGGGATCAAACTACAAAGCAACTGTGCCACTCCAGAAGCCACGATGCTATTTCCTGTCGAATTACCGATTGTTTCCTGTGCTTGTATGTGGTCGTCTAGATCGATTAAAGTCTGCAACGTGAAAAATAATATTTCTTGGAATATTTAATTAATATCGCGCATCAAGCAATTGCAAAAGAAAAACAACGACAAAAATCTTTCCAACGAATCGTTCTTTTTACAAAACAAACAAAAATCCCGTGATCGATCAGGTGGTCTTAGATTGCTGTAACCACGTGGATCACCCGGATGCAAGAGAGAAGGTAAATTCCTGGCACGTTGAGTCATGAATGCCAGGCTTGCTTGACCGAACCCCGCCGATCCTACCGGAGGGGAACGTATACGGATTTGGAGCTTCTAAATTACGGGCAAGAATGTCCAAGAACCTTTGATAAGAATGTCGGAGATTGAAATATCGGCGCTAAGAGCTTAGAAACGTGGATGAAAGTTCGTCTCGATAAACTCTATAAACGGGTCTTTACAAAGAATACAATAAAAATATACAAAAGACGTGAAAAGAAATAATAGAATTATTATTATCATCAAATCGCATCAATATTATAACACCCGCGTATTTTTGCTGAATTTCTTACTTAGCTATCTTCGAAAAAACGAACTCAGCTTCATTCGAATCGATTTCTTCGTCGTATTCCATCATGCTTTGTAACTTTGAAAATAATATTCCTGCTGCCGCCACGACTATGTAAATGACGTATTTAATATTGTTCTTTTGCACTTAGGTATTGTTGAAGACATTCATGAAGCAGTATTGTCAAAATAAAATCTAAATAAATATCGTTATTGAATGATCATGTCAAATCGAACGGGGACCGAGAATAATCTCTAGAATATAAAGAATTAAATATATAGTTCTATATTGTTTTCTTTAGAGATTGATACTAATTCATAAAAGATCGATGAATCATTTTGGTTTGATTTTAATCATCTAATTGAAATCTTATAGGAGGATTACTCCATAGTATATGATCGGACAAATTTCAAAAGAGATAATTTTTAAATGAAATAATTTAATAAACGTTGTGTTTGAAAAATAATTATTAAGAAAATAATATACTTGGTTATTAGAATCGTTAATAAACACGAAGATGATCGGTTAATATTTTATAAAAGCCCATTGTGTCGTTCGGTCAGGCGAGTCTCTCGAAGAAAGAAACGTACGAGATAAGGGTCAGAGACCCCCATCGCATGCGAAAGGTAGCGAAATAATCTCTAAGGAAACATTAAAAAGCGGTTTGACCAGGGCCTTTGACAAATTTAATCCCATCTTGCGTCCACGTAAAATGACTACCAGGAACTGCCGATCTTCTCGGTGAGCGTGAAATCAAATCTCGGCCGGGGCCGAACTTTCGGAAATTCACGCATAATGCATGCAAATCGTATTCTCGCGAGTAGATGGAGAAAAAAAAAAGAAAAAAAAACAGAAAGAGACAGAGAGACGAGAGGGAGGAAAGGAGGATGGGTGGGTGGTGGTTGGTTTAGTTGGAAGTGAGGGGGGTGGAGGAGACATCGCATAAAGAAGCTGTAAGAGAACGAGAATTCTATCTTCTTTCTTTCTTTCCTTTTTCCCCTCCTTTCCCTTCTTTTTCTTTTTTTTCTTGACGATATGACTTCAACGAAGGAATATTTAAAAGAGTGCTCGAGAAAAAGAGACGATAATAACGAAAGGAAAGAAGGGAAAAGTATAATATCTATAAGATTCCTTTCGTCGATCTCGAATAACGAAAAAGAAAAAAAAGATAAAAAATGGAAGATGAAAAGGGGAAAAATGGGAGAGAAAGAGAGAGAGAGGGGTGGTAAAAGTTAAGATTAAGAAACATAAGATTTACGAGAGAAATTTTGTAAATTCGTTCGCTCGGACGTACGAAGAAGTCAAAGAAGATTGGAAAGCGTATATTCTTCTTGAAGAATATCCTATGCGTCACGCATATACATGGAAACAAACGTGTCTACATATACCAAGAGAAAAAAAAATAAGAAAAAAGGTCGTATACGTCTTCTTGTGTAATGGACCACGTCCCATCATTTTTCCTAGCTCGACTTAATAATAGGTATAGAGCTTAGGGTATTTTCATTTCTATCTTTCTCTTTTTCACTTAGGAAAACGATTTCATTTCTTTTCTTTTGTCTCCCTAAAGAACAAAAAATTGGAAGTCCGAGTAAAATCGAAAGGGCGATTCTCCTGCAGTACCAAAGAACAGTTCGCAAAAAAGAAAGGAACGTAACGCGCGAACGATAATCAAAAGTTGCACACGGGCATGCCGAACAGCAATAAAGATAAAGTCAAATGTTCGTATAAACTATAAGAACCGAAAAGGAGACCTACGTCGAGAGTTCGATGCGGACGAGTTTATCGGCAGACTTTTTTACGATTGCGAGGAGAAAAAGGATCGACATTTTCTCTCCCTCTCCCTCACCCCTCTTTCTCTTTCTCTCTCTTTTTCCTTATCTTCGCGAGGAAAAAAAAATAACCAAATCATTTTCTGAAGCTAAAACTTTAAATCGAATTGTTTAGCATATGCAACTGCAAATATATAAAGTAATGTTCTCTCTTTGATCTCCCAACTTTTTTTTTTATTTATTCTTAAAACAAACAAAAATATACATAAATTTGATCATCTTTCGAATATGAAGTTGTTACATATGCGCGAGTAAGTTTACGAAGCATGTCTCTTATTGATATACGAAAAAGATAGAAAGATAGGATCGATATGATCTTTATTTATCGAGAAAAGTAACGGAAGCTCGTTCTTAAAATTGTTTCTAGGATGGAAAAAAAGAACAATAGGTTGGTAGGAGTCCTCGAAACGCTACTAGCCCAATGAAAGTGACGACAATGGCACCCTGCTTGTATCGCATGCGTTTTCTCCTTCTATCTCTCGCGAAGGGAAGGACATGAACAGATTTCAAGTGCATAGGGACGAGAGGATATCCTCGAGAAGAACAAATTTTCCTATACAGATCCATTACGCTTTTCACGTTCCGTGTCGAGTAATTATGTGCTCGAGATTTACCATTCTATATGTGTGTGCGTGTGTGTGAATGTATGTGAAAGTTCTTTAGAAAATAAAAATCAATGATGTAATTTCAATAAAGATCAATGATGATCTTATAAGTAAAATTTTAGAAAATAATATTAAATTCATATTCACAAATAATAATAATAATAATAATAATCAAATGAACAAAGAGGTAAGGAACAAGAGGAAGAAAAAAGATAGAGGAGACAAAAGATTAGGCAGACACCTCAAAAAACGGAGCTTGATGAAAGTGGCAAGGAAGGAAGGAAGGAAGGAAGGAAGGAAGGAAGGAAGGAAGGAAGGAAGGAAGGAAGAAAGGAGGAAGAAGAAGAAGAAGAAGAAGAAGAAGAAGAAGTACCCACGCACATTCTCGTGGAACACGCAGCATCAGCAGCCGCCACGCTCCTTTCACCGTATAACGCGATCTGCTTCTTGCGCTCGCGTGAGAAGGGTGTGTACGTGTGTGTATGCGTGTGTGCGTATACGTGACGTCACTAAAAGCTCTCTCTCACCGCTAATGCATTGCGTTGGAGGAGGTGCCGCTGTCGGAGGACTGGGTGAGGGGTTTCTAAGGGAGAACGGAAAGTTTGTCTCTCTTTTACTATGTAGTATGATCTATATATATATATATATATATATATATATATACATATATGTGTGTGTATACGTATGTTGTGTATATTCTACGGAGCGTGAAGTATAGCCACTGAAATCGCGGCAGTTCGAAATGATTGCCGGTCGATCGAACAAAGGAAGTCCTATCGAAGAGAACTCCCATGTTCCGAGAAACGCTAAAGGATTCAAGGGGAGAGGAAGGGATGTTGTTAGCAGAATCGTTTCAACGTTAGAAACATCTCGAACTTGTTGAAATTTTCTTAGATCGTTGCTTCGAATTTTTCGAATCTTTCCTCTTTCTTTTTTTTTGTTGATACGTTTATGCCTGGACTTAAGATTATAATATGTAACGATTGGGGTTCTAAGAAAATAAATATAAAAATATTAAGGTTGCATATATATAAGAGAGTTGTGAAACAAATCTGTCGATATTTCTAATTGATAATGTTCAATAACTTCCTAAAAAAGATCTCCGATAAGATATAAATACGTAGACAAAAAAAGAAAAAGAATGTTGGATTCAGCCAAGACTATATCATTAGGTACACGCGTTGTAAAATCGCATCGCAGCCACTTAATCCTTATTTTGACAGGTCGGACAGGACAGACAGGATGACAAGGTAATGCGGCCGTTTTACGTCCGGCGCTGTCGAAAGATGATCTGATGAAAAGACAAAAAGAAATAGAACAAAAAAAGAGAAAAATCTTCAAAAATCGGAAAAATAATCCATCCTTTTCGTCTTACTTTAAAGAAAATAAATATATAATTAAAACATCTCTCTCTCTCTCTCTCTCTCTCTCTCTCTCTCTCTCTCTTTCTCTCTCTCTCGTACAAATGACGCTTAAAAAAAAATGTTTCTACCAATAATATCTAATTGACAAAAGGAGAAAGAGAGAAAAAAAATTGAAAAGAAAAAAATCAATCACTCGTTAAGTGGCGCGGTACTTTAAAACTCTACACTCGAAGAAAAGTGCGAGTTCGTAAAGAGATCGAAATAGAAGGCGTCGTTGAGCTTTTTATTCTCTCTCTCTCTCTTCTTTTTCCTTGGAGAACATAAAATCTCGGCGAAAGAAAATATAGGTGCCGGTCGTAAACGAGGTCGGGGCTTTCAATGGTGAAAACGTACGATGACATACGCGTGAATGGTGCTTCTGAAAAAGTGCTTTTTTCTACCCCCTGACTCTCGCGAAAACATCGATTTGATGTTGCCTTCTTGTGGAAAACTTGTATGTAAACAGATGTAGTAACGAGAAAGAGAAAGCGACAAAATGAAGAAAATAAAAAAGATAAGCGATGAAATCAGTTAAAACGTTCTGGCTATTAACATTTCAACATTCTTATATTTATTGTTAGAAGATTAATTGAGAAAACCGATCGTGAAAATACTTTTACTATTTTTTGTTATTTACATATTTTTCATATTTTTTTCATTCTTAACTTACCTCCAAACGTTGTAATAGAAGATCCAAAATCACGAGAACCTTGTTGCTCGACAGAATCACTTCGATGTTGTTTGCATTCCCGCTTATACCGGACTTGTACACTTTGCATAACGAAATTATGCTCCTAAGAGATAAAAAAATTCATATTAGAACTGAAAAATATTGAAAAAATAAAACTTATCTATTTAATTTGATTTATACTTACTTGTTTGGTAAACATTGGGACGAATTTTGAATGTTCAAGCTTAAACTTAATAGATTTGTCAAAATGTCGAATCCGTTCAGTGATCTTAACGCGTCTTGATCAAATGGACACTATAGGAAAATCGAATAAAATAATTTAGAAATATACCATTGTATAAAATAAATAAAAATTCGAAATAAATTTTTAATAACTTACTGATTTTGACAAAGCTCGAACAATTTCACCAAAGCAACGTTCCAAAGTAGCTACGGCGATGCTGGACCCGGAACTTTTCAAATAATTATACAATCTATCCAACTCCTTTAAATTTCGTCGAAATTTAACTTTGTTGGTAGACTCGACGACGATCAAAGGAAGACTATCGTTTTTCTGTGCGTTTTCCCATTCCTGACCGCGAGAAGTTATACGTTGTTTTATTTTCCTACAACGGCGTTTCAAGGCTTTCTGTTTTTCCTTCAACGCCTTATTATCGTTCGAAGTTACATTATTGGACGTTGGTGTTAATACGTCACGTATTTGAGCTATGTTGAATCGTTGTAATTCGTCTCTCGATGGTTCTCTACCGTCGTGTGCGTTACGTACAGCTTCGAGATGAGTTTTTCCTTTCAAATGACTCAGGAGATGTACTTCATTCGTTATCTGAATAGAAATAATAATAACAATGAAAAATACAAAATCTATACTTCACTTCTTTTTTTCTAAATACGTTCTGTAATTTTTATCATTATATATTTTTCTTTATTACTTTTGCACATTGCATTGTAATAATTATTACTTCATTTAAGATATAGTGGTACTTTAATACTGATAAGAAGATTAAGATAAAATTATAAAGACAACTTACGTTTGTATCACAGAGCGAACACTGCTTTTGAATGGGATAAGATTTGAGAGTAGGTGGAACTTCTTCCGATCTTAAAATAGACGACTCGACAGCCCTTTGACGAATATGTTCTATATTTTCAACATGCCTTCTAGCTGACTCCTGTTGTTTATGAGCTATCTTTTTTTGTAATTCCTCTTGATTAGCTAATTGAGCCGCGTGAAGGGCTGATAATCTTTCTTCGCGATCTCGAGCCTTTTCTCTCGCAAGTTCCTAAGTATTTAACATATTTTTTTCAAATCATTCGCACAAAATATTTCAGATTTATTTACCTGACGTTCCTTCACTCTTTCAAGCTGCATTTTCCCAACTCTCTCTTCTCGTTCGCGTCTAGCCTGTTTCATTTTTTGTATACGCAATTGTCTTTCAGCTTCCAATGCTCTCCTACGTTCCTCAGCAGCGGCTTCTTTTGCAGCTTTCTCTTCCTGACGTCTTTGACGTTCTTCTTGTATACCCTGTATAATTTAAAAACGTTAAAACTATAAATTCTCCATTTAAAAATTCTAAGATCATTTCTATAACTTTAATAAATACCTGCAATCGCTCCTCCTGTTCTTGACACAATGCCATAAAATCATGTCGTTTATTTTGTGCTTCGAGTTCATTGATAAACGCGATTTCTTTTAATTTCGAATCCTCGTCATGAGCTTTCCTTACTATTTCCAGCAAATGTTGTGTTCTATTTTCTTCTGCTCTCTTAAGTTTCATTTCCATTCTAATTCTCTTGTCTTCTATCAATTGACTTTTAGCACTCTTCACGTCCTCAACTTTGTTCAATAATTCCCGTAATCTTTGCGACTTCTCCATCAATAATTTTTGACGTTTATGTTGCGCACACGCTTGTTTTGCTTGATATCTGCGTAAGGTTTCAGGTAAGGATCGTTTTCTGGATGGCGAAGATAATTTTTGATGCAGTTCAAGAGCTCTTCCAGGATGGCGTGCTACGAGTGCTTGCAACTGTGCGAGAACGTCGACTCGTTCTGCCCATGACATGCCTTCCAACATATTTTCGTATCTATAAAAACAATTTCGATAAATAGATAATAGGAAAAATGTAAATAATTAAAGTTTTCTTTTATTCGTACCTATCTTCTAAACTAATATCATCGGAAACAACATCGATTACTACCGATTGTTCGTCCTCTATCTCGAGAACCATTTCCCCATCAGTTTCATCAGTTTCCGTGTCGATGTCGAACTCGGTAGATTCTAATTCTAAAATTTGCCTTTGCAAAGAAGCTTCTTCGTCCGACAACTGTTGCGATCTTTGAGAATCCGCTTCTTCAGTCTTTCTTTCCTCTTCTAAAATAATACGTTCTCTCTCAGCTTGGGCAGCCATAAACTGCTGTATACGTTTTTCAAGCAACTCTGCGTCGCTTTTGAATATAGCTGCGATCATCGATGTTGAATTAGTGTCGTTTATCGACAATGGAAATTTCATCACATTGCTGCTATCCCAAATAGTTTTATTAACTTTATTACCGTTCAAATTTGATTCTCCTTTGACTTTTTCTACCTCGTTATTTATATTTTTCCCAGCCTTTCCTACCATACACTTTTTCTTATATTTATTCCCATCGGGTGTTAAACAATTCTTTTTGTTTCTTTCAGAAGGACTTTCTATGGATAAAGCTGGCAATGATGTGGCCGTACTTGGTTTGTGAAAACGCGTAGACATATTTAAATTGTGAGTACTCCCTCTTCTGTAGCGACTTCGTACAGTTTGCCAGCCATCACCTTCGTCTTTTGGTTTAACATTACTCGGTTGTTTCGTTAATACTTCTACTGAACCGTTCATGTCACTCTCTTGATTTTTTGTCGACAAAATTTTATTACCCTATAAAAAAAAATATTATATATCCATTTTATTAAATAATATAAATGTGTGTATATGGGTCATTCCATGTCAAATCGACAAATTTTTTACCTGACCCCCTTTGATTTCGCTGAAAATTTTCTATCTTTTTCTACCCCCCGAAAGTTATTTTTCAGAATTTTTTCAAATTTTTTTTTCCCGACTCAAAAAAAGTTATGAATTTTTGAAAAAAACYGCTCTTTTATTTTTAAATTGCCAGAAC